TTCAGCTTTGCATCACAGGAATAAAATGCATTTGAAAATATATTAAAATAGTTTTAAATTGTAGTAATATTTCACTGTTTTTTTTTTACTGTATTTTCAAACTGATGTATATAAACGTACAGTATGTATGTATGACTTTTTTCTTTAATTAAACTGTGAATTAAATGTATTTTTTTAATGATTAGGCTCATGATTTTTGCCTGTAGGACAAAAAAATGGTAAAAAATATAATATATTACAGAGCCAAATCATAGATTACTTAAACAATAACCAGCAACCACACAGCAACACCCACAGCAGCCTACAGCAATGTGACACTTACTGTACTATTACTATTACTATACTATTACTATATGTCAACAATCTCATTTGTGTCTATTTTTCACTGCTGTAAGTCTCCTAAGCTATGAAACAGCAACCTTTGAGTAATATCATTACACTGAATGCCATTATCAGAGTTAAGCTGGAGTCGCCAGGCGTCTTTCAGCTAACCAGCAGAATCTCAGACGTCCCTTAGCGGGTTATCCATTCCCAGCCTCTAAAACTATCGTTTCTCCATGAAACAGAATCCTTCTCTCTCTCTCTCTGTTCCTATCTCTGTTCCTCCATTCTGTTTTTTCATTTCCATCGATCCTACAGATATCTACACTCCTCTACAACATCTAAATCTTTCACTCTTTATCTTGCTCTAAAACACTGCATGTACCCTATTTTCTCTACCATTATCCTCTTTTTTTAACACAATGTTCTCTCTCCCAGGTGCAAAACTTGGACTACTCATCAGATGCATTGATGATCATCTCTGCGTGGATTTCAGGAGAAATGATTTTAAGAAACAGTCGGCACGAGTCCTCCCTCACAGTTCCTGTATGCGATTACCAAGACTTTCATCCCGCAACATGATCGATAGCCTGTAAATGAACTGGAAGCCCCACATAATAGGCAGGTTTATAAATGATTAGGGGCCGCCAGTCTTTCTCGACCTCGTAATCTCAGCGACATCGTTTCGGCAGGGAGCATCTCCAGAACAGAAATATGACCACCCTTACTCGGAGCGAGAGACGGGGTCTGTAAAACAGAATGAAAAGGCCTTCTTCCTCATTTAATGCCTCATTCTTTTATCTGTACAGGTGTCTTTATTTCTTGCAATCTTCTCTCCATCTCACTATCTTTACCCTCCACTCGATTTCACCTTCTTTACACAATCAGTCCTTATTACAGTGCTTGTGAGTCTCTAGAATCCATTCAACCTTTGTTTTATAGATAATTTAAATCTTAGGTGTATTATCCATTCTTTTTTCTAATAAACTTTTTTTACTTTTCAACATTAAAGCTGACATGAAATGGTATTTGAAATCCGTCTTACTGCCATGACATATTGAAAAAGCAGGCCAAGATATGAGTTTACCCAATAAAATCACCAGAGAAAGTTATAAGAAAAGCATTATGCTTTAATAAAAACACTTTATGTGGAACGACATGCACTGATGAATTGTGCACAATAAAACTTAGAAAGATTTCAATGTTCATTTCATGTTGACATCAAAATTTGAAAAACTTCAACAACAACAATTACGACATTCTAATTTGTATATTTTGATTTGTGGTTGAGGACTTTTATAATCTTACAAAAAAATTTGATTTCAAATAAATGCTGTTCTTTGGAACTTTCCATTCTTTATATAATCCAAAAAAACAACAAAAAAACATATGTTTCCACAAAAATACTAAGCAGCACAACTGTTTTCAACATTGATAATCAGAAATGTTTCTTGAGCAGCAAATCAGCATATTAGAATGATTTCTGAAGGATCACGTGATACTGAAAATTCAGCTTTGCAATACAAAAATAAATACAATTTAAAAATATAATCAAATAGAAAACAGTTATTTTAAATTGTAATAATATTTCAAAAAATTTTACTGTATTTTAGATCAAATAAATGCAGCCTTGTGGAGCAAAAGATACATCTTTAAAAAAAAAACCTACCTACTCCAAAGTTTTGAATGGTACACTATAGACAAGACATAATATTTATAGAAAATCAAAGCCTAAAACCTACATTTACCAACAATTTCAACACTACTTTGGCTCTCAAGTGCTTAATTATTTGCTTTAGCACATCTACTGTAGTTCTATTCTGACATCCCAGAGTCCCACTCGGAGGGGGCTTTCACACTAGCACTTTTGGTGCGCACCCAGGTTCATTTGACGTCAGCGTTAGGTTCGTTTGGATAATGTGAATGCTGCTTTCTGAACTCGGGTGCACAGCAGCGAAGCGCATCCGAGTCTGGCTAAAAAGGGTGGTCTGGGGTACGGTTCATGCGAAGTCCGGTACGGTTCACTTCTGATGTGAACGCAATCGTACTAAATCATGGAAGTGAGCCGCTATATTAATGACGTATGATTTGGTCAAACAGTGTATTTATGCATTTACTCACTCGCTTTCCTGTTAAGTGTGACTGACGCACTGCAGCAGAGAGAATTTATATCTCATTTCTGCTCGCAAAAAAGTGACTGCTGCGTTTTTTGAACCCTACAGTCGTGACAAATAGACGCATGTGCCATTCTATGTTGGCGCTTTGGAAATTAATAAGAATTTTCAAAATCCCAAGTACAAAAATGAAGTGAGCAAGCATCCATTCATTGTCTTCTGCATAGTCATTAGTAACGGGGTAAACAGCTGCCACTCTGATGACACAAACGTACCGTGGTTCGGAACCATAAAAACAGTTCAGGGGGAGGAGGAGGGGGAGCAATTGAACTCGGGTTCGGACCAGGCAATTGAACCAAGTGTGAAAGCACCCTAACTTGTATTCTTTTCTTCTGATCCATTCCTTTCTTCTTCCATCCCAATCCTCCATTAACTCCCTCTCACTGCAGTTCATCTCTTATCCTCCATCACCTTCTACTGCACTCCCTTAATCTCAGATTTTCTACTAGTATTTTTCCGTTCATCCCTTGGCTTCCCTGGGTCAGGTTGGCATGAATGTGAAAGTATGACTGCGGCATGTTTGACATCCAGTTTACAAATATCTCACAGTCCAAATTTTCTTGCTTCAGTTGATAAATGCCTGATTCAACTCCCCTAGTGCTTGACGTTTTTTTTCCCCCATTTTGCTCTCTCTCTCTTCCTTTAATACACCGCCTGTGTGCTCATTTTCTCTTTACTCCATCTCCTCGCACTAAACAAGCCATCTCCACCTTCATAACCTCTGTAAATAAGTTTGCTCTCAGTGGTTTATTGGTGCTGAGTGTGTATGTGTATGGGGGGAGTCGTGGTCTTCGCTGCTGAGTGTAGCTTAAGCGAGAGTTTTCGAACTCCTAGAAGCTGTCTGGATCAGAGGTGCGTGTTTAGAGACCCCTGCATCTGAACCTTTTAGAGTGAACCTTTGAAATGAGCTTTTGGACTGAATAAGCCCCGAGCCCACCAAGATATCTATCAGAAATCCCTTTTCAAAAGCCGACTGTAAAGAACGCTTTCAATATCTCCTGAAGAACGAGTAAAGGATGAAGCTTTGCGTGACCAGGAAAAACTTGAAAGTGTCAGCAGTGGAGCTGAAGTACTGTAGTTCACTCTAGCTATCTAGGATAAAGTTTTCATCCAAAACACGCTAGCCAGTGACGGCAACATGAATGTCCAAATCATCTGCAATCAATAGTTATTTCTGTATTAACGGCGGGTTGTTGCTGTAAATTTGGGGAACTGATGAAATCCAATTACTGTTTGATCTTTTGCAAGTATTTCTTAAAGTTTTCAGTGAAGATGAATAATTGGAAATTATAAATAATAATGAGAAATAATGATAAATGGAAACACAAGAAAGAAAGAAAGAAAGAAAGAAAGAAAGAAAGAAAGAAAAACAAGTAAAAAAGAAATTAAATGAATGAATGAACGATAGAGAAAGAACTGATGAAATCCAATTACTGTTTGATCTTTTGCAAGTATTTCTTAAAGTTTTCAGTGAAGATGAATAATTGGAAATTATAAATAATAATGAGAAATAATGATAAATGGAAACACAAGAAAGAAAGAAAGAAAGAAAGAAAGAAAGAAAGAAAGAAAGAAAGAAAAACAAGTGAAAAAGAAATTAAAGGAATGAATGAACTTTAGAGGAGGAAAGAACAACTGAACTAACAAACGAAAGACCAAACGAAAGAAAGGAAGTAAAACAAATCAATAAACAACTGAACAAATGAATGAAAGAACTAACAAACAAATAACAAAAGACAGGAGGATGAACAATCAATCAAAAGAAAGAATGACTTGAAGGAAGGACAAATGAACAAATAAATTAAAAAAACAAACAAAGACAAAAAGAAAGAACAGAGGGAAGAATTAAATGAAAAAATGGATGGAGAGAAGGAAGAAAGAATGAACAAACAAGGTAAAGACAGAATGAAAGGATGGATAAGTCTTTATTATGAGCTATTACCATTGGATGTGAAATGGTCAATCTGCCTTTGAAAAGGCATGAGGGTGTGCAGGAGTGTGTGTGTGTGTGTGTGTGTGTGTGTGTGTCACACACCGATCTGCCAAATCTGAAAATTAGCATTCCGACGAACGATCTGATTCAAATCACTTTCCACACATTGGGATATAAACATAGACTTTGTTTGAACTGACAGAGGGCTTTCATTCCTCTAATCTGGCTCAGCGTGGGACGGAGGCGACTCCTCACTGAAACCACATTCAGCTGCCGCAAAATTACAAGCTGCAGTTAGTTTGATCGGATGGGGACCAAAGTCTCGGGCACCCGCTTTTGACTTCAAAGGTCAATGTTATGATCTTTCATCATCTAAACCCATACTTTATGACTCATACACATGCAGGCTTGAATGAAACTACACGCTTAATAGCGATTCACCTCTGGATATTGATTTCGTCAGCTTCATTATACATTCACATTAAAAGACACAGGAGAAACGGTTTAATATAATCCATGTGTGTAGAACTGAACAGTGTGATTTATAATCAGCAGAGGAGGAAAAGTCTTACCTATGGATGCCGTGGCAGGGACCGGCTCCTTAGAAACTGCAATTAAAAACAGCATAAAACTGAAACTCATTTTTTGCTTTGACATAAATGCCACACAACTATTGTTGTAGAGTATTGTTCTGATATTTTTAAGGGTAAAAAAAGCTGTTGTTATTGTAAACTAAATATATTCAAAATAGTTTTCATTTATTGAAATAAAGCTACAATTAAATAAATTAAATAATATAACTTTATATACAGAAATAAGTTGAAGTACTAAAATTACTAAAATAATAAATTACTGAAATAATAATAAATAGAAATATAAAAAACCTATAAAAATGACAAAAGCAAATAACAAAATTACTAAAAAAATCTAAATATTAAGAAATACTATCTATATATATATATATATTATTTTATTTATTATAAAACAAATATTTATTAAATTAATTCTAAAATAACACTGTTAAAGGGATCGTTCACAGAAAAATGAAAATTGTGTCATTTAATTACCCTCATGTTATTCTAAACCTAATTGTTTTCTTCCATGTAACAAAAAAGGATAAAATGGTTCTATTAAAGCTACAAAAAGAATGCAAAACACTATAAAAACGTATAGCTTATATGACTGCATTATATTCCAAATCTTCATGAGTTGAAACAATGTCCAGTTCATGAATCAATAATTCATTTGAGTCAGATCTTTTCAGTGAATCGGTTGATCCATTTCACAAAACCAGTCTGAATGATTCGTTTGCAGACTGATTCGGTTTTTGAGTTTTGTTTCTATTTTCTTTATCCTGTTTTTGTGTACTTTTTGAAGCTTGATATCATAATTTTCAAAAAAAAATTTGGTGAACTATTCCTTTCATTCTTTAATGCAATCATTTAGCAGATACCTTTATCTAAAGCAGCATCTAATATAATAGTAATCCCATAGAAACCTGGTTTTAAAGTGCCTTGCTTTAAAAATGTATTAAAAGCTGAGAGCTGAGATTATCAATAGCTGAGAGCACTGCTATTTTTATTTATTTATTTATTTTTAAGAAATGAGAGTACTGTATTCTTACTGGAAACGAAGAGCATCATCAAATTAGCCTAAACATTTAATAAATGAACATACAAGTGGTAGGGAATGTATAGAACCTTGTGAGGCTCAAGTTCTGTGATTGGCCTGCTGATACATTGTACGGTTCAAATCTTTCGGTTATCAGTCCAGGAATTTTACTACTATACCACATGGACCAATTCAACATAGGAAGCCACACACCTGAGTAGTAGGAGTTGAGGAGGGTTTTACTCTGGAGGGCTTTACCCTGGATGGAGAAGGAGCATGGAGAAGAGGAGGCTGGAAAAGACAGAGGAGAGCACTTACAGTACATACACACACCGCACATGTCTATAAAACACCAAATCATTTCCAGATTAATAGCTGTGTCATATTGTGACAGAATCACAGTGGCAACAGAATAAAAGGTTTTTAGGTCACTTTCCGTAAAGGAGACAGATATCACACTAATCAACTGCATCTTGCTGTAGTCAACAAGACCTTTAAATGTCATGGACTATTTTGAACATATCCACATGCATATCCTAGCTCAGTATATACAGTGAATATCTAAATGTCTGGAATAAAAAATGTAGAGTGAAAAAAAATTGTTGTAGAAACAATTTTCACTCAGAACATTTCTAGTAAAGTTTACAAATAATTGCAAAGAAACAGCAAGTAACACATTGATTTAAAAATGAAAAAAAAAAATTTAAATAGTAAAACATATTCCAGTAATCTTTGTTTAATTTACACCTTCAAAAAACATATTTTTTTTTACAGTGTAGACTCCAACGACAAAAAAATGAGAGTCACCAAAACCCACTCCTAGAGCTTCACTCACTCTAGTAACCTTTTACTCTTCTCAGCTGAAGCCCATATCCTTTTTACTTTCCATTTTAATCACCTATCACTCCAGATCTCCCTTTACACAAATCCCCGTGTCTCACATGTGTTGGCGCATATGCATTTACTTACATAAGGATCTCTACAGAAAGTGCTTTGGCAGCAAAAGCTCATGGGCCAGCGGGGTGAGATCGAGAGCGTGGAAGCGTGGAAGGTTAGAGGCAGGTGTCTCTGTGTTCATTTAAATGGTAATACAGCTAAAACGCTGAGTGTGTAGGCTGGGATCGCTATGATCACTATTTCACCCATCTTCTGCTGCATCGTCTTCAAAAAGCCCAGATAGAAAATAAATAAATAAATAATAATAATAATGTGATTGTATGATGATTGTAATGATTGTAACTGTGGAGCCAGTGAGAGGAAGGTCTGGATATAAAATGAGAAAAATGACAATTACAATATATGAGATATAAAGGCCCGCAGGAATTTGGTGCTCACAGAAAAGGCTTTAGAAATTGGAAGGCCTGTCATTCACAAAGTTCAACACATACTACATTTCAAAGATTTGAAACGAACACCCCAGCTGAGATTCATGTCTATAATAAAGAGGCTGTACTAGTTCAGTAATAGTGACTCTCAGATCATTAGATAAACAACAGATACAACAACAGCCTCCAATTACTCTGTGTCTGTAATGATCCAAAATAAACATACAAATTAACTGCATTTGCACTTCCACTGACCAATGACATTCAAAAGAACTGGGAAACACCAAACATGCAGAACACATTGCCAATCAGTGTTGATTTTAAAGGAAATAAATGTGATCATTATGCATAATGACATTCTCTCTCTCTCTGTTTCTCTCTATGCATCTTGCTCGTACACTCCATTGCCCCCTCCTCTTCCAGCTCCATTCAAATTATTCTGTACACAAAGGCCACAGTGACATTTTGTGCAGAAAGCAACTCAGAAAGACCCATCCTAATTACAGCCCTTTCACAGCATACCAGAGCCCACTTAAAACTGAGAAAAAAACGCCTAGTCCAAATGCCACTTGCTATTCTTCTCCAGCACCTCTTAAAGCAGCACGTCAATAGCAAAGTCTCTTGATATGTAGAACGTTTCGGTCCATGCTGTTTAGTTACAAAATAGCTCTCTGCGGCGGGCGACGTTCAGATCAGGTGTGAGACGGTGGCATCCCGTCATTTGGTTTCCTGATGGACGCTTAGTAAAGACAATCAAGGAGAATGGTGAGTTGAGTTAAAATGACAGATTGTTGACCGCTTTTGACCCCTTTTAGGGCTTGCTGAGCTCATCAGCGTGATGGTGGGACGTGCAGGAGGGTTGTGTGATTGCAATAATGAGTCCTGAGATTGGCTCGCACACACTGCGGCCACTCCAGAAGATCGTGGTATTTGGGGAACGTGGCGATTATATGACCTGTGGACTTTGACTTTTGAGACTGGTGGAAAAGAGCAAGAAGTTCTCTAAAGAGAACCTGTGAAAAAATGTCTGATTGAACACAAAACTATTACTGTATCTTTCAATAAATCTTCTGATGCCCATTCATGTTTATTGTGAGCTATGCTTAGTAGTAGATGATCGGTTCATGTGCCACTTGAACTAATGCGCATACTGTCACGCCACATTAAAGAGCGTCAACACACCTTTATTATTTGAATTTCATGATTAAATTGACTAAATTTGAAAGCTGAGACCTTCAGAAATAAACAAACTTTACTGAGATTATTGGACGGGAGGCATGACACAAATAATGTTCAGTGAAGTTTGTGCACGTATGCCAAACATCGCTGTTTTGTATTCCAGCTCAATAGTTTCAGTGCATTGCTAATTGATTCCCAACCTTGAATAAGTATGTTGAAAATTACACTTAAGTATCTGTTAAATCAATCATTAATTTGTTAATCTATCCATTTATTCATTTGTTCATTCATTCAATTTTTAATTTAATCATTTATTTACATGTTCGACATTTCACTCATGTATTCATGCATTTGCTCATTTGAACTTTTGTTCATTCATTACTTCATTAGTTAATTTCTTTGTTCAATAAATCATTCAGTTCCTTCACACATTCATGCATTCTTAATGTGTGGTATTTGTTTATGTGTGAATTCTTTTTTTCTTTAATTTGCTCATTTGTGAATTCATGCATTGATTCATTCTTTCATTTGTGTTTTGATTCATTCTTTCATTCGTTCATGTCTTTTTTCATTTGTTCATTGGTTAATGCCAACACCCTTCTCTAACCCATACTGTTATCAGAGCACAGATACATTCGAAATAAACAGAGATTATACAGAAAAACAGGGCAGCACAATAATGTCACAGCACAATATTTGCTGAACTCACAGAATCCGTTGAGGTCCTGGTTGCTGGTGGAGAACGGATCATCCTTGTGTAATGTGCTGACTTTTCCTGTGCTTTTATCCGCTGTGCCTACGGGCCCCATCTCTCTCTGCGTGCTGCTGCTGGCTGTCTCCTTCTGTTTTTTAGCTAGTTTCCTTCAAATCCATCCACAACAGGACAAGTTTATACAGATGATCAAAAGAAGACACTTCAGTGTCGGTGCAATGCTTTTGATTAGTGCAACCTGTTTAACTGTTGTCTAAACACGTTTATATGTGTGAAAGTAATCACTTTTTTGTTTTGGACAAACAAAGGTTATTAAAATCAGTTATCAGCTTCGTTACTGCTAGACTTGCTGGTTTTAGTTTAGACATTTATGTATAGCATAAAAGTAACAGTATAAGAGTATAATAGTAACAATATACAGCACTAAACCAAAGCACTGCCACAACACTGCTGTAAACTGACATATAAAAGACATACAAGACAAACACACACAGACAGACAATGGGCACATAGAGGACAAGAAGTGAGGCATTTGTCTATTCCAATGGCATTGACTGTAAGATTTCTGTAATATAATCTAAAATATATATTCTGCAGTGATATATGCCAGCAAGTGAGAAAGAGAGAGAACAAACCTTCTCAAATCAAGAGAGAGATACTCAAAACCTTGCCATGCAGAACAAAGCCAATCGAACACTACAAGTCAATTGATCAGGAAAAACTTTTACACACACACATTCACTTGTAGATAATGCAAACAAATACATTAATGATATATTAATACATCGTAATGCTTTCTCTTAAAGGGCCAGTACAGAACTGTTGCAATGGGCAGCGCACATATGGATGACAGCTGAAATGTTTCATTAACTACAGATTGTTTTGCACTATGAAAGTATTTTATCCTGATTAAAGCTGTGACACGTTGAATAAGTGACCTAGCAGTTCTTACTTTGACACATTGAGCTGTGCTGTTGAAATGATCTCATCCCACCTCTCAAAAAATATTTAAAAAATTCTCCGGCAGTCTTTATAAAGGCAGCAGACTACGCTTCTGCTGGTCTTTGATTTGTTGATTTGTCTGGCTGTTCATAAGCTGAGGCCTCCCCACACTTTAGTGCACAGAACTTCAAGGAAGATATTACTGTCAGCAAAGGATTGGAGTCATCCAATAAAATGACTCTGATTCTCCAGGTCCCACAGAACACCATTTGACCTCAATATGTGCTCGCTTCTCTTACGGGGCCGAGCTGATAATAACTCTTTGTTTTGTTATTTTCTCTGCTGGGAATTTAAAAAAAATCTAATAAAGATTCAGCTTCCTCAAAAACCAGGCCAACCTTTACAATTGGGGCCATTTTAGCTAGGTTGGAAAATAAATTCAGTAACATTGGTTTTTGGTGACTGAGGATCAAAAGAGGACGAAAAGTGTTCAGAAGCAGGTCTTAACACCAAGAAGCAATAAGAGCGGGGTCACAAATTTCCAATTAAGCAACCAAGTATCAAAGTGATGGCTATAAAGTGCTGAGATTTCATTGTAGAAACTGCAATGCACAAACTCTACACCAAAACCTAGTGCGCACCCTACCTAGACAGCATATTCAACAATCCATCAGCTCATCCCACAGTGTATGCTGAAGGTCACAGAATTTTATAATACAACAGCCATCAGATAATAAAACCCATTGATTGCTGCAGTAATGGGTCTCGTTTCAAGTGCCAAATTCTGGACATATTGTAAGTGGCATAAACTATAGATAATCCTTATTTAATGAATGCCAGTGCAGCACTTCATTAAAAGTGAAGGCTATAATATAGTCAGATCACCATAAACAGTATTTATAGCACCAACTTTTGTTAATGGCTTTTTGTAAACGAGAAAGAGAGAGGGGGGAACAGTGAGGAGATAGCTGTAAAATCTGGCTTGATTTTGCTCTTCATTCATACATAAAATTCACCAAATGTTCATTAATAAGCATATCACACTTGGTTGAGCTAAAACTTGAAAGGAGGAAATAGTAAAAAGACATATGCACTTGTGACATCAGAACATGCAAAGACAAGGCAGCTGGCCAGGAAGTGCAAGTCAAAGAAGTATTAGTAAGCATGCAGAAGATCTCAAAATAACCTTTATATTAACCCCTGTTGTTCAGTTGCTTGCATGCACAAGGTTAACTTGTAGGGCATGGCGTTAGCAAGGACAAGGTCATGGGGATTCCCAGGGAATACGGTGTTAAAATTATATTGACGTGTTTGAATGCACTAAAGTCACTTTGGATAAAAGCATCTGCCAAACGTGTAAATGCATGCACACACAAATTTCTGGAGTAGACATGGTGATGAATCAGGAATAAACATTAACATCACCATATATTATGATTGCTATACTACTATACCATTCTAAAATCATAGCACATTGAAAATGATATGCTAAAGCAGACTGTGGTATTGATTTTAAAACATTATGTGCTAATGCAAGCATAATGTCTTACTACCTAGACAAACACATGCACTTTTGTATGCAAAAGTACAAGCAGGGCTTAAAACGTCCCAGGTTAGGGGAACGCCTTCAGCGATACCAAGCTCTGAATCATATGTGTAATCAGTCGAATCGATGGGCAGGACGTCAAGGCGGGTGACGTCATGACCAGGAAGCTTTAAAAGCATGTGAGGTGCAGCCGGCGCTAGCTTCTTAGGAGTGAAGCAAGCTCTAGTAGGGATGCCGGAAGTATGGCCTTGCGACGCAGCGTCTCGTTCCCTCGGGGAACCATGGTTACATACGTAACCTGGGACGTTCCCCTTCGGGAACTCGAGCTGCGTCAGAAACGCTAGGGGAACGAGATGTCTACGCCGCCAGACTTGCAAATCCCTGCCTAGTGTGGAAGAGCACAGCTATGGCAAGAGAACAGAGGGGCCTGGAGTGGCTCGCAAATCTAGGTCATAAAACCTGACGAACGTGAGGGGCGTAGACCATCCTGCAGTGTTGCAGATGTCCTGCATAGGAACTCCTGCCAGAAAGGCCTTGGTACGTAACCTGGGACGTTCCCCTTCGGGAACTCGAGCTGCGTCAGAAACGCTAGGGGAACGAGATGTCTACGCCGCCAGACTTGCAAATCCCTGCCTAGTGTGGAAGAGCACAGCTATGGCAAGAGAACAGAGGGGCCTGGAGTGGCTCGCAAATCTAGGTCTTAAAACCTGACGAACGTGAGGGGCGTAGACATGAGCGGCATCCACACACTTCGTGAAAGTACGGGGTGAGAGTGCTAGGCCGAAGGGAAGGACCCGATATTGGTAAGCTTTGCCCCTGAAAGCAAACCTCAGGAACTTCCGGTGACTGGGAAGGATGGAGACATGAAAATAAGCATCTTTTAGATCTATCATGACGAACCAGTCCTCGGACCTGATCTGAGACACGACCTGTTTGACAGTGAGCATTTTGAACTTCAGACACATGACTGAGCGGTTCAATAGCACGCAACCCTCCTTCCTTCTTTGGAACGATGAAGTACCGGCTGTAGAACCCGGACTCCCTGTCGAGAGGAGGGACCACCTCGATGGCCTCCTTCCTCAAGAGAATATTGACTTTTTGTTCTAATACCAGAGCCTGCTCTGGGCCCACTACTGTGAGAAAAACCCATTTGAAAGGCGGCGGCGGAGCGCCGAACTGAATGCGATAGCCTCTTTCTAGAGTTTGCAGGACCCAACGAGATACATTTGGCAGTAGTTTCCACGCTGCTCAATAATCTACTAAGGGAACCAGTCTCTCGAGACTGGCCGCTGGTGTATTTGGAGCTGCTAGCTGGGTGCCCTGAAGCGGCGGACCGCCAGGAGATCGCCGAGCTAGCTGCTTGAGAGACCCCCGGAGGGGTTGCGAGGCTCTCGGCTACGCTACATTCCCGGGCAGAAAATACAGAGAGAAACCTTTGCTGGAAACCGCTGCGCCCTGGTACACTGGCAGGGTTGGCAGAATGGTTTCCCGAGGGTTCTGAGGAGAGACGGACACCGTGTAATCCGGCATACCCCGCTCTTCCCCAGTAGGGGCCGCCCTCAGTAGTCCTGGACTTAGGTCTGTCAGGACCTTCCTCGACTGAAGCACGACCCTCAGATCAGGCCTCGCCGACTTAGAGCGCCGCCGTCCTCGGTCCCGCTGCGGGGGAGCACGAGAGGCAACGCTCTGTTTTTGAACCTCCCTATATGAGGAGCTGGTACCTGGCTGGGGCTGCTCCCGCCCAGCAGCCCCCAGAGCTATAGAACGGCGAGGGAGAAACCGCTGGAATGCCGCCGCCTGTTTACGAGCCTCCTGGTATCT